ACTTCTCAGTGACACCAATTTTGTTTACCTGCTAAACAAAATTACCTTTTATGCTCTATATACCAATTATTACAGTTATCATAGTTCTTTGGAACAATCCAAAGCTTAAAGTAGGAAAGAATGATTAATTGTATGAGATGAAATAAATGGTTGCAGTATTTATATCAATAATCCTTACTCTTCATTCTTGGTACGTTTGCTAGGAACCTCAGATCAAGACATAACTTCATTTTTTTGCTGACATCACAAATGGAAGAAAAATAGATGTGTTTAATGTAACACCTGTATTTTCTTTCTTTCGAGGTGTGTTGGAGTTTCCTGGGCACCACTGTCTCTGGGGCTGTCTTTTGTCTCTTTGTAGATTAACTTCTCACTATTTTAAGCAGCATGAGATCTGTCTTAGTTTTTGAGAGGCTTCTATTTGATTTCAGTATACACATATCTAATTATAAATTAGAATAGTTTGATCACAGAACATTTATAATCCAGATAAAGCACAGAATAACAGTTACGGAGATCCAAGAATCAGCAAAATACTATAATGATGAGGTTCAGAGCTGGAAAGGTCCTTAAAATTACATAGCCCAGCACTTATTTTACATTTGATTTAACTCAATCCTGTCTGTTGTATTTTCTTTATCCTTCCCCATCATTCTCTTCCTTTATTATTTAGCCGTCCCCCCACACACTTTTAAACAAAATACATTTCTTGTTTTTAAGAATGAGTGAGATCATGAGTTCACCTGTTAACCCTACCTCTTTCTGGACCTGTTACCTATTTCCAACTCCAGACATCACTCAAATCATGGGAGTAGGACTGGGGCTGAAGATGTAGATCAGTGACAGAGTGCTTGCCTAGCATGCAAGAGGCCCTGGGTTTGATCCCCAGAACTGGGGCTGGGTGGGGGGGGGGGGGGAATCACAGGAATAGCTCTGCTTAATGCTAATAAACTACCCTATCAAGTATATGACCTGATCATTTCACATACACATTAGAACATGCAACAAATTTATCTAGGCTCAGCTTGGTTGTTATAAGTATACAGAATTACACACAGTTAATATTATGCCCACAGAGAAAAGTCAACCTAATTACCTTTTAAAATTATCCTGAGTATCTATAATATCTGTATATTTCCATAATCCATCCATTAGGGAATATGACCAAAGAAAATAAAAATATTTAGCAAGCTTACTAAGAAATCCCATACAACCATCCTGATGGTAAAAATACTTCTTAGATTACAACTTATATGCTTACTTATAATGTAACACCTTGTGAAAAGCAGAATGGCCATGTTCATAAAAAATAGGATACAAAATGTTCACTAAAATAGTCATCACTGTCCTAATAAATAAGAAAAAGACACACTTTCAACTCTTAAGATACAGATCATATCAAGTGAGCAGCACCAGGCCTGTTCTTTGTGACTTCTAGACACCAAAAACTATTTCTGGGACTCCTCACCAGCAACTCTGAAGAGTTGAAGCCTTGTTCAGTCTTACCATCTGAGTTCCTTGAGAAGTCTCACAGGGGTGACCTCTCAGAGAAAGAGGAGTCTATTGATGTGCTTGAGATTTTTAACCTTGGTTAGAAACCCCTGAATTTGAGAGATAAATGGTTGAAATTTTAAGTGTAAACCATTCACGCTACAAGCCCCAGAAAAACAGCTTCGTTTTGATGACTGTTTTGGTAACTATTGGACCATTACATAACTTTATGTTTATTGGCATCAAAAGWGGGCATCTTTACTGTGGATAATATGTACTATTATTTCTAGGTAAACACTTCAGAAAGAAAAAAATTTTAAACGCACACACACACAAACACACCACACAAGCAGGTAACTCACAAAGGTTTGACAGTCTGAGTCTTAGATATTGTCATAGTCTCCTAGGTAGGTCAAATAAAAAACTGGCTTTAAGAAATTTTCTTAACTATAAAAATAGAATTTCTCATTGTTTGCTTTTCTCTACTGCATTTTTCATAGGGTCTTTAAAACCACTGTGCAATTGATGTTTGATGATCAAATGATGATTCTATACTAGCAAGGGACAAAATTCCTTATGGTCAACTGTCCTCCAGGGAAAACAGATGACCAAAAGTGGGGAATGAAAGATCCCAATGTGGCAGCCCTCGTGGCCCCCAAGAATCTATATCACACTGTATATGCCAGTTTCCTTCAGACCTTTATTAAACAGATGCATATATGGATATGGTAGAAAAGAATACTTCAGTGAATTTCTTCTAATATTACACAAATACTAAGAATTCTGTTTGCCATTATTATCCAAGACACTAATCTATAATGAAATGTGATAGCATCACAGCATCTTTTAAATATAGCATTTTTGGACTGGAAATAGTAGTCTACCATGAACTTAGAAATGCTTATTTTCTTTTTAGGAAAATATTTGAAATATCTAAAATTTTTAATAGAAAAATGAGATATAAAGATATATGTTTATAGTTTAAAAAGAAAAAATAAGATACCAGAAATATGCAAGTGATAAGAAATCCACTGGAATATTCATATTCTGAAAATAAAAGTATTTATTCTACATTCTATTAAAGTATATGAAGAGCAAATTTATCTTACGATTACCCTAGTGTTAAGGTACATTTGTCCAGCAACATCAACTTTGATCTTGATACACGTGACCTCTAAATGGCAGGTATCCTAGTGTATTCCAGAAGTTGAAATTATAAAATAAAATTTTAAACTTACAAAATCAAAAGTGCCATTTATTTTTACATATATAGTATTATTCTAAAAGGATATGCAGTGGTTGGCAGAAGAATATGTACAGGAGTAACCATGAACAGGAATGGTCCTATCAAACACAATGCTGGTGAACAGTTAAGTTTTTTTTAAAGAAATACTTAGGTGTATTTAGAAGTAGAATAAACCAAAGATTACACTTTTACCCTAAAGTTAGAGAAAGCAGGCTTTCTATGGTTCAGGGGAAGGAAAAGAAACTACTAACACCTTTAAAAAAAAAAAAAAAAAAAAGCCTTGGGAAGCCAGGCGGGCCCAGTGGTGCATACCTATAATCCCAGTGATTCAGGAAGCTGAGGCAGGAGGATGCAAATTCAAGGCCATCCTGGGCAACTCAGCAAGATCCTGTCTCAAAATAAAAAGGGCTGTGGATGGTGTCTCTGAGTTCTATCTTCTATAGCATCTCTCCCCCCAAATTAAAATAAATATGCTTTGGGTTAAAACCAGGAAATGAAGCAGGTAATATTTAAAACAAAATAGCACTTAGGGAGGTTTCCCCAGCTTTCACCCTATCCAAAGTATCGTCAAGGAACATCAAAAACAAATCAAGCTTGAATGTGTTATCTACATTGTAAACAAAGCTCTATGCTTTACATCAATCAATTAAAAAAAATCAAGATCCACAGAGCAGCATTTTCATCTACTTGTTTAAAAGAAACTATTTTTTAGCAGAAACTATTTTAAGTGCCACAGTAAAGAAAATAGGTTCTAAAATGAAACCTAAAGCATTTCACTAACCAAATACTGGAGAGAAGCTTGAGAGGCCGTAACACAAAAGGAAATACATGTGGAGAGCTGACACATTTCTGAGTTTCCAAAGGTCTTCAGGGAAAAGAAATCCCCAGACCATGGGCTACACTAGAAGTTTAAGGAATTCTACATGGCTCTTTAGTAATTCTCAACTTTGAGTGCATACACACTAAAAYAGTCTGAAAAGGTCTCTTTTTTTTTTTTCATTTTTAATACCACTGCTTGGACTCTACCCAAGATCAATTAAATCAGAATCCCTGGTATGTAGCCCAGGCATTAGTAATTTTTTAAAGTTCCCAGTGGTTCTAATGTGCAGCCGGGGCTGAGACCCACTAAGTAACCTAGAAAAACTGAGTCAAGGATGATTGTAATTACTGTGTGTTTGAACTGTGTGGTGATAGAAAGTAACATTTCAGGGAGATATTTTTTTTTTTTTTAACTCATGTTAGGATGCTCTTCTCAAGTGTTTACTCTGTAGTGTTGGATGCTAAGACCCCTCAAGATTCTAATAACAACATTTATCAAGCACTTACCTGGTGCGAAACACCTCACCCTACCCCATTTTACTGCCCTCCATAAACACATTATCACTAATCTCCATTATTGTGCGAAAACAATGATAAAACCTATTAACCCAAGCCAGCTGATGAGGAGGGCTTATTTGCCCATCACAGAGCAGGTAGGTAGAGAAACTGGAATACAAACCCACACATGTCTAATTAAAAAGCCATGCCTTTAATATTATGTATTTATGTTTTGAAAGGTAGTTCAGCCACATGTTTCACAGGTTTATGATGTATAAATATTTACCAAGTAGAAAGAAGGCATATAAATAATTAATCTCATTCAGACTCCTTTTTCCAGTAACCAAACAAGTTCAAATACACAGAAACTATAGTCATCCTTAACTCCTATCACTTAGCCATAAATTCCTCTCCTGGAAACCATGTTAGCAGTTTTTTGTTTATCTTTCCAAAGTTACTTAATGTAAATACAAGCAATCCTTGTAAGCATATGTGTATATAGACACCATACATTCGGGGTTCTCCCTCCTCATTTAAAACTAGAACAGCATAGTCCACATACCATTTTGTGTATGGATTATTCCACATTAACATTGTATCTTAGAAAAAATCCCATATAATGTATATGTTTAAACAATTTTTTTGTAACATGTAGTATTCCATTGTACAACTCTACTGCTACTCTTACTAACCAGTCTATTATTGATAGTCTCTATATTACTTCTAGTTATTTGCTGTTTTTAAAAAAATGTAGGCATGAACCTTGAGTTACATGACTTCACAAGTATGGACAGATAATTGTACCTGTAAAATATATTCTTAGATGTCAAAAGTCATGCCCTCCCCACTATTCCATTTTACTTTAGGCTTCAGAGAAACAACTCACAGCCAGACTTATGATGATTTATATTTATTTTATTCAAAACCTTTATCTAAATTCCAAAATTGTACTTTTCATCTGAATAAAAAAAAGTTAGAAATGTTTTTTCAGAATATGCTCAAAGACCAAAACAGCTTGAGGGGGTAGTTTTAAGCCAAAGTGAAATGCCTTCATAAATATGCTGGTTCTCACTCCCCACTCAGAAGGTATCTGCCCCTGAGGACTCCACATCCCCCTGTATGGTGCTGATGCTCAGGGACTGAGAGCAATCCTCAGGTTTCATCGAGGGCAGCGTCACAGACATCTTAGCAGGAGACATCTGAGGAGTGAAGAGTGGCATTGCCTCACCACCTGCACAAAGGAGAAGTGTATTCAGTGACACCAGCAAATTTTGACTATTTTAGGTGCTTTTCCCCTTCTAAATAATAGGGGTGGGGGACAAAACAAGGACTGCACGTGAGAGAAATACTTTTCTCTAGGTGCTCAGCATCCATCAAAGAACTAAAACACACTTTCCCCTCCTTTCCTCCCTTGCTTCTAAGCAGTTAGAGAAAACATTTAAAAGTATACAAGTGTTAAAAATGGTGCGGTGAATTAAACAAAGGGGAAAGAAAGGAAGGGAGGGGAAGTGGGAATAGGAAAGACAGTGGAATGAATCTGACATAACTTTCCTATGTTCATATATGAATACACAACCAGTGAGACTCCACATCGTGTACAACCACAGAAATGGGATCCTAATAAGAATAAGTTATACTCCATGTATGTATGTCAAGATATACTCTGCTGTCATGTATGTCTAAAAATAATTTTTAAAATATTTTTTAAAAAGTGATGGTACAGGGCTGGGGTTGTAGCTCAGTGGTAGAGTGCTTGCCTAGCATGTGTGAGGCACTGTGTTTGATCCTCAGCACCACATAAAAATAAATAAATAAAAATTATTGTGTCCATCTATAACTAAAAAAATATTAAAAAAATAAAAAGTGGTGGTATAGATGATAAATGCCAGATAAGACCAGGCAGCGTAGTTAAGACCTAGTCTCTGAAATCCAGACCAAAGATCTTACTGGCTGTGTGACTTTGGGGAAGTTATTCTAACCTCATRTTAAGTTTCCTCATATGTGAAATAGATAATATATAAGGAAAAAATAACATTGGTAAAGAGCTCAACAACAGAGCTTAGCACTTAGTAAGTGCTCAAAAACTGAGAGCCACCATTACCACTGAAGGATATCACTGCTATCTATCACCACTGTCACCATTAAGTAAATAGCTAGTCCAACTACAAAAACCCATTGTAACAGCTGGAAAACAGGGTTTGTTATTGGTTATAGAGAAAATATGATGTTTTAAAAAATATAAATTAGGTAAAAGCATCTGAAAGCAAAGGTTGCCCAGGCACTTTGCTCTTCCTACTACTCACAGAGATGGACCTTCGACTCAGGATCATGCCATGAATAATCATTACTGAGTGTCTGCTATTAATTAACAGAACTTATATAAGGGAAACAATATCAAAGAAAAATACTTAAGTGGTTATTCGAATATTATTGACATTTGATTTGGAAAGCATTTTTCTAAAAAACAGATTTTTCATTATCTTTATGTTTAATCAAATATGGAAAAAAATTCCACTCCATGATTGAGAGCAATATTATTATTGCCTAATATAGAAGATGGTTGGTAGGCAGAGAGGAGCCAGCTTGAGATGAATATACCTATGTTAAAAAAAATTCAGAGTTCATTACATATGTATCTCTATCTGCCTTTACCCTAATTCACTTTTCTAAGTTTTTAGCACGTTATTAATTAACAAATAAAGAATGCCACCTTGGTATTATTTACAACTACAAAAATCCTCATTTTAAATTTCATGGATTTACTATAAGAACCTTACAAACAAATTCTTGTAACAACTCTTTGTGTGTATGTGTGTTGGGTGGGGTGGGGTGGGGTGCTGGGAACTGAACCAGAACCTTTTACATGCTGGGCAAGAACTTTCACTAAGTTATGTTTCTAGTCATTTTTATTTTATTTTGGGACGGGGTCTTGCTAACTTGCCCATGCTGTCCTTGAACTTGTGATCATTCTCCTCAATCTCCTGAGTAACTAGGATGACAGGTGTACAACACCATGCCCAACTTCTTAAACAATCTTAAAGAGAGTCAATCTAAAATCCCTTTGTTTTTTAAGTTGTTTACAAAGTAATAAAGTGGAACTTTGCACCAATTTTTTATAGGGGATACAGTAAAAGACAGTTTTGGAGATGACTCAATCACAATTGTCCTAGATCATTAAAACACTTGTAAATGGCAAATTCCTTTCATAAAAGGAAGTCTAACAAAGACTATTTCATTTATTTTTCTTGACAATATTAATTTTACTAAGTTGAAACATAGGCATTCATGAATACTTTCTTTTTTCTTTTTTTATTTGTTCTAATTAGTTATACATGACAGTAGAACACTTTTTGATACATCATATATAGATGGAGTATAACTTCTCGTTCTTCTGATTGTACATGATGTAAAATTACACCAGTATGTAATCATATATGTTTATAGGGTAATAATGTCCAATTCATTCTGTAATCCTTTCTACCCCCACACCCCTCCTCTCCCTTCACTCCCCTCTGTTAAAGTATCTCTATTCTTCCCTAGCCAACCCCACCCTTGAATGTGAATTAGCATCTCCATGTCAGAGAAAACATTCTGCCTTTGATTCTCTGGGTTTGGCTTATTTCATTTAGCATGATATTCTCCAGCTCCATCCATTTACTGGCAAATGCCATAGTTTCATTCTTCTTTAAAMCGGAGTAATATTCATATATATATTTTTTTTGAAGGACACCTAGGTTGGTTCCATAATTTTATCTATTGTAAATTGAGCTTCTATAAACATTGATGCAGCTGCATCACAGTAGTATGCCGATTTTAAATCCTTTGGGTATAAACCAAGGAATGGGATAGCTGGATCAAATGGTGGTTCCATTTCAAGTTTTCTGAGGAATCTCCTTCTGCTTTCCAGGGTGGCTGCACCAATTTGCAGGCCCACCAGCAATGTATGAGTGTACCTTTCCCCCCCACATCCTAATTAACATTTATTGTTGCTTGTATTCATGATAATTGCCATTCTGACTGGAGTCAAATGAAATCTTAGAGTAATTTTGATTTGTGTTTCTCTAATAGCTAGAGATGTTGATAAATTGTATTTCTTTTTCTGTAAAGTGTCTGTTCAGTTCCTTTGCCTGTTTATTGATTGGGTTATTTTTTTTCTGGTGTTTTTTTTTTGAGTGCTTTATATATCCTGAAGATTATTGCTTAATTAAGATTATATATTGAAGATTATGAGGTGCATGTAGTAAAGATTTTCTCCCATTCTGTAGGCTCTCTCTTCACATTATTGTTTCCTTTGCTGCGACACTTTCTAGTTTGAATCCCTCCCATTTATTGATTCTTGATTTTACTTCTTGTGCTTGAGGAGTCTTGTTAAGGAAGTCAGGTCCTAAGCCGATGTGATGAAGATTTGGGCCTAATTTTTCCTCTGTCAGGCGTAGGGTCTCAGTTCTAGTGTCTGAGTCTTTGATCCACTTTGAGTTGAGTTTCATGCAGGGTGAGAGAAAGAGATTTAATTTTGTTTTACTACATATGGATTTCTAGTTTTCCCAGCATCATTTGTTGAAGAGGCTATCTTTTCTCCAGTGTATGTTTTTGGCACTTTTGTTTAGTATGGGATAACTGTATTTATGTGTGTTTATCTCTGTCTTCTATTTGTACTATTGGTCTATGTGTCTGTTTTGGTGCCAACACCATGCCATTTTTGTTATTACGGATCCGTAGTATAATTTAAGGTCCTGTATTATGATGCCTCCTGCTTTCACTCTTCTTGCTAAGGATTGCTTTAACTATTCTGGGTCTCTTTATTTTTCCAAATGAATTTCATGATTGCTTTTTCTAATTCTATGAAGACTGTCATTGGTATTTTAGTTAAATCTGTATAATGCATTTGGTAGTATGGCCATTTTGAYGATATTAATTCCAAGRGCATGGGAGATCCTTCCATCTTCTAAGATCTTCATTCTTTTTTTAGTATTCTGTAGTTTTCAGTGTAGAGGTCTTTCATCTCATTTGTTAAATTGATTCCCAAGGTTTTTGTTGTTGTTGTTGTTTTGAGGCTATTGTGAATGAGGTAGTTTTCCTAATTTCTCTTTCAGTGGATTCATCACTGACATATAGGAACAAGTTTGATTTATGAGTGTTGATTTTATATCCTGCTACTTTGCTGAATTCATTTATTAGTTCTAGAAGTTTTCTGGTGAAATTTTTTGGATTTTCAAATATAGAATCATGTCATCAGCAAATAGTGATAGTCTGAGGTCTGAGTTGTTCTTTTCCTATTCATATCCCTTTGATTTCCAAAATAAATGAGTTTGGAAAGGTCCCTTCCTTTTCTATTTTCATGGAATAATTTGAGGAGTATTTGTGTTAATTCTTCTTTTAAGGTCTTATAGAACTCGGCTGAGAATCTGTCTGTTCCTAGACTTTTCTTGATTGGTAGGCTTTTGATGGCATCTTCTATTTCACTGCTTGAAACTGATCTGTTTAAATTGTGTATGTCCTCCTGATTCAGTTTGGGTAGGTCATATGTCTTAGAAATTTGTTGATGTCACAAAGACTATTTTAAATACTTCACTATCCTTTTATTTCATTGTATCAATTTCATTTTTTAAAATATTTATTTTTTATAAGTAGTTGGACACAATACCTTTATTTTGTTTTTTTATTTTTATGTGGTGCTGAGGATCGAACCTAGGGCATCACACATGCTAGATAAGAGCTCTGCCACTGAGCCACAATCCCAGCCCCTCAATTTCATTTCTTTATAAAAAGAAGAGAGTAGATTTTGCATCATTATAACAATATCACAAACTGTAGTACCATTTTATTTAAGGGGAAGGTAATTGTTATATAGAATAAATATTTTAAAAAGAAAGACTTGAAATTTAGCTCTCTCAAGATATGATAAAAACTAAAGTTAAGAAATACTAGCCAAGGCCTGGTAGCACACACTTGTAACTAGTGGCTTGGGAGGCTAAAACAGGAGGATTGCAAGGTCAAAGCCAGCCTCAGCAACAATGAGATGCTAAGCAACTTGGTGAGACCCTGTCTCTAAATAAAATACAAAACAGGGCTGGGGAAGTGGTTCAGTGGTTGAGTACCCCTGAGTTCAATCCCCAGTACTCCCTTGCCCCCCAAAAAAAGAAATACCAAAAAACTGCTGGACACAGTGATGCAAATGTGTAATCCCAGCAGCTCRGAAGACTGAAGCAGGAGGATCACAAGTAAAAGCCA